CTTGAGAAGGAGCTCTATCTTGTCTAAAGCAGTCCTGGTCTCTACAGATGGGCTGTCCTTTTTGTTTCACTGGACTAAAAAAAACGTAATAAAAGTAGGTCTCTTTTCCTGCAAACAGTGATTGAAAGACTTAGTCTCTGTACAGTAAGGAACTAAAGATGGAATGTAGAGGGGTTTATTTGCTGACATCGAAGTCTTCAAGTCTACCAGAGGCCAGCTATTGTGTTACTGCCCTATTGCTGAGGGAGGGCTTTTGAGACTGCTGTGCACTCTGATTTGGGGAAGCTGCTTTTATGGGAACAGCTATGTGTAGCTCTCGACAGCGAAACTGTGCTGGCAAGATGACTACACTCTGCACCAGTAAAGCTAGACTGATAAAACTCAGTAAGCATAAACTCCAGCATTAGTCATCTAGGTTTACCTGATGGCCTCAGGGTTACGCACAAATGAGGCAGTTCTGATTGTGGGATTTGGTTTAAATCTCCCCAGAATGCATCTTTGCATGACAGTGCTAAGCTGCTGGTAATTTTTTGTTTTGGATGCTTGTGGTTACTCAAACGGGCTGAGGAAGGAAGATGAAAGGATTGCTTCATTTTCTTGCAGATTGTTCCTGTCTTTACTTGGCAGTGGGCCACCAGAGGCCCAGACAGGCGAGTGGCGCTGCGGTGCACCCCAGCCAGTAGCATGGGGTCGCAAACAGCACCTATTGCAACAGGCTGCCTGAGGGTTTCAGACATGACTTTGTTTTCTGAACAGAGGACCAAAAAGAATCAAACTGAAGTATTTCTGTGTTTGGGGCAGTTCCCCCAAGTGCCGTGCAGGAAATGCCAATATGGAAATAGTCACAAGGAGAAGCTGTCTGGCTGTTTTGATTTGTTTTGAATATGGGTGACCCCACTTATCTACTCCAATCCATGGAAACCTTCTCAGTCAGAAAAAAAAGTGACACTAAGGCTGAAGAGATACTCTTCTGTAAGACTAACAGTGATAAATAGTGGTGCCATGAAACATATGCCAGTGTTCAGCACTGATTTTAATAAACCAAAGGGGAGATGTGTCGGGGAAGACCTCAGGTTTCCCAGCTGCCAAGTCACAGTCCTGGCCCAAAATTCACAGCCCGGGGTGGCATCTGGGCGCAGAAAGGGTGGACGCTGGCACTGTGCCACCCCAGAGGTAGCGGGCACTGGCACTGTGCCCCTTTTGGTGCACAATTCAGGTAGCTGCCCCATCTCCTTGTTCCTTTACTCCCACACTATGGGTCACGCCCCGTGGACTGGCACATGCACTTGCTGCCAGGTCTGATGGCACTTCCCAGCTGCAAGCCCAGGATGTAGGAACCTGCTTTTCATTTGAACTGGTACCCCACAGGACCACAGTGACAATTTCCTCACCCCCATGTGCAGTTACTGGTGGGTGAGGCCAGTATCCTCACAGAAGTGTGGATTACAACAGTGGAATTAGTTCAGCTTTACTGCAGCACCATTTCTACCTCGGAGGAATAGCAGCTGTGGAAGTGGTGATCTGCCTAATGCACACCTGTGGTGAACTGTGCAGAGCAGACTTACTTCTCTGTAGTGACCATGTTGGTGATTTATTTAAAGACAGAAATGTAGAGCGTGTAAAGACAGAAATTAGGGACAGAGGAGGCATGTTTTGAATGGCGGCAGCTGAAAGAATGGTTCTTACAGAGGACTTCTGGAACCCACGGGTTTATTATTCTGAGAGCCATGTAGGACAGAGAGAGAAACTACTGGAAGACGACCTCAATTTCTTTTTGTTCCTTGGCTACAGGAAATTTCCACCGTAAAGCGTCAGTGATCATGGTTGATGAGCTGCTGTCTGCCTACCCACACCAGCTTTCATTTTCCGAGGCTGGGCTCCGGATCATGATAACCAGCCACTTCCCTCCCAAAACACGTCTCTCCATGGCCAGCCGCATGTTAATCAATGAGGTATGTCTTTTATCTTCCCCCCACATCCCCTTCTCCTCCTGAATTTGCCTTTTCCTGTAGTAATGTTTGGGTCAAAAAGGAACTCTTGTGTTTCTTCTGGATCGCTGATAGCATTTTCCCAGATTTTGTCTTTCTGATGCTGACTTGACTAAATCATCCCTTCCTATCCGTCCCCATGGAGATTTTATCAGGTTTCAAGTTGTTACATGGTTATGTTACCTGTAGCCATTGCTCACAGGAGGTGCCCCCTGCGCTGATCTAACATTAATGTCACTTGCAGTTATTTAATGATATGATATTCCATTGAGTCTGCACTTAGTCTGGCACTGGTCTTTGCATACTCCTCGAGTCGGTTTTACAGCCACTGGTTCTTCTCTTACAGAAGTTATGTGTGTGAGATCTATCTAGTCATCTGCAAGCAAGCATCGTGCTATACCTGGTCAAAATTCATCCCTATTGTTTTTAAAGCCAAAAATGTTTAAAGAACTGTACATCTCTCTTTCTGTGTTCCTCCTTTTCTCTTAAAAAAAAAAAAATTTAAAAATCTGTCTTTCAGCAAGAATTTGTGCCTGTATTTACAGAGACAAAGGCTGATCAACAGCAGGACTTACACCAATGGTGAGTCAGAAGTAGCAATCAAAATACCTATCAAGCACGTGGTTGAGAATGGAACAGGCCCCAGCAACTCCGCTGAGCGGGGTGTGAACGGCACACGGCGGGACGAAGACATGGCTGAGGCTGGGAACGAGACAGAGAACGAGAATGAGGATAACGAGAACAATGAAAACGATGAGGAAGAGGAAGATGATGATGACGATGATGACCATGAAGGGCCATACACACCTTTTGACCTACCCAGTAAGAAGCTCCTGGGTTTATGTTGTTCCAGAAAGCAAAACTCAGTTTGGGTATGCCAGAAAGCATAGCAGTATGTGTTGAGGTAGAAGTGTCTCAGAGCTCCCATCAGCCTGCACCTCACAGTGTAGTTTTTGGTCACAGGTAAAAGGGGACAGGAACTGGGAAGCAGCAGGAACTTCTCAGAATGCAGCCTCCTGTGCTTGGACACACCTCGTGCATTGGCCCAGCGCTGCTGTTGCAGTCAGAGGGGAGAGGCAGTAATCTCCACGAGGTGGTTCCTGCCCCCAAAACCTGGGTCACCCTCTGGAGAGACCCATTTCTCTCTGCTGTCTGCAGAGGAAGCTGAGGATGGTGGGGCTGCTGGCAAGGTGCCTGAACACAGGTCAGATGCATCTGCATCTAGGCCTTACCTTTGCTGGGAAATGAGGTGCGCTCTCTTACCTCGGTGGTAAGGTGTAGTGCTAGTGAAGACAAAGGAGTGGCCGTGTACAGCAAGTAAGGAAAATTTCTTTTTTTCCTTCTTTGTGAAGCAGAGACAAAAGAAGGTCGTGGGTGCCTCTGCTTCCTGCTGTTAACTAGGCACAGCCACAGTGTCTTCTCACTCTGGAGGGCTTAGAAAGTCAGAACAACTATGTGACTTACAAAAAAACACATGAGCCCCAAGTTGCTGAGCACTGCATCCCTCTTACCCCATCGAGGCTGTAGTCCCGGGATAACGTATCTGTGCCCTACCCTTGACTCACAGTTGCCACAGCTGGCAGGATCTGCTGTTTTGCACACAAACCAGAATACTGTAGGGACTGGTCCTGCCCTTTACTGTTGAGATAGGTTTTTGGGAACTCCTGTTCAGATCTGCTCACTCGAGCAGCATAGCTGTAGTTCAAGTAAGGGAAAAAACTGAGGCTTGAGGAGCGTGATTTGGATGTCCTGTGGACCATGACACTAGATTCATAGTATGGGAAAGGTTGGTATGGACCTCTGGAGATCTCTGGTTCAAACCCCTGCTCAGAGCAGGTTGCCCCAAACTGCCTCCAGTTGAGTTTCGATTATCTGTAAGGATGGAGATCCCACAGTCTTTTTGGGTACCCGTTCCAGTGTTTGACCACCCTTACAGTAGGGAAAACAAAAAAAGAAAACGCACAACTTACGGTAGCATCTATTCTGCATTTCCCTTACTGCAAGTTGACTCCATTGTCTCTTACAATTTCCTTGTGCATTTCTGTGAAGGGCCTGGCTCCATCTTTTCTGTATGCTTCCGTTAGGTGGTTGAAGATGGATCAGATCTTTTCTAGGACTTGTTTTTTATGTGGTACCTGTAAGAAGTTGACCCAGGGAGGGTAGCAGGTGTGCTCTGACCTGTTACTTAACAAATTCTCAGGGACGTACTTCATACTCCTTCCCTATGCCCATCTCTGCCATCACACCATGATCTCCTGAGCAAGGAACGTCTTGTCATTATCTGTTTGGGTAGCAGTTAGGCTGAGGTGTCCCTGACATCTTGCTTGTTAATATTAACAAAATAATAACATTCTGGACTAAAGCAGACTAGAATTGTGATTGTTCCTCTTTCTTTGTTTTACAGCTGGCAAGATAGAAATCTTAAAGTGGCTCTTCACATGGCCACTGAGTTTTGTCCTGTACTTCACCGTGCCCAACTGTAACAAACCCCACTTGGAAAAATGGTTCATGGTTACCTTTGCTTCTTCTACTCTCTGGATTGCAGCTTTCTCCTACATGATGGTGTGGATGGTACGTACCACCTAAAGCAGAAACCACAGCCCAAGAGAGGCAACAGAAGTGGGTTTTGTCAGCTTAGAAAAATGTGTAGAAAGTTCTACATACTTGCACTTTTAGATGGGAAACCTTAAGTCCGCTTCCATTTCTATTAAACCTGTCCATGCTTAGAGACAATCAGGGGCCAGCAGACATGGCCTTTGAACTTGGTTCAGGACTGGAATTTCACCCAGATTTTTTAACGTGGGAAAAAATTACACTTGCACTAGTTTAACACCTCCTTGTTGTGCAGGGCAGCGTAAAGAGGCTCTGATGCTAGTAAGAATCCAGCCTCAATAGCTTTTCCTTTTCTTGGAGCAAGCAAGCTTGAGAGACAGAGTTGTGAATGATAACACTTTGAACTCAGCATGAACAAAAGCATGACATAGCCAAGTTCTTGCACAACTACTTTAATCAATAGGAACTTAATTCTGCCTCATTATCCTCAGGGTAGAAGGAGATAAATAAAAATGAACACAAGGAAATCCAAGCATAGTTGGCCTGTTCACAGGAGAGTTTTGCCCACTGGCTGGGTCATTGAGCGTATTAGCTTGCTGGAGGCCTCGTTACATGATATGTGATGGTGAAAAGTGTAAGTTGTCCTCCTTAGGATTACAGTAATGCTGCAGCATGGATTGCATTTCTTTTGGGGCAGTCTGTACTCGTAAGCAGAATAAGACAATGATGGGGCATTGGCATCAGGAGAGGGTCTAACAAGGGAAGCCTGGTTTTGGACTGCTGCACTTGCGATGGAGTGCACTGCGTGGGACCTGAAGAGCATGGAGATATCTCACTAAAGCACTGGCCACTGCTTCCCTGCTGGGGAGGAGGAGACAACAAAAAAATCTTCACTGCCTTCACAATTCATTCTTGTACTAAATGCAAAAATGAATGCCAGGCTTTTCCCTGCGAACTAATCAAAGCAATTACAGAAGAGAGGGGGTTCTTTTGGTTTTTTTTTCAGTAACCCATGTTACCTTGAACAGGAAATAGAAAGTTACTTGTTTTCTTCTGCTTTTCATCTGCGAGAATGAGGTGTTTTTCAAGAAAAAAAGCTATCCCAGCTTTCCATAGCTGAAATACCAGAGCCTACAGGGTCACTGTGCTGCTTCTAACATATGGTTCGCATTTCTTGGAGTATGCTGCAGAGAGTTCAGAAGAGCAATTAAATGTGGCCAAGGAAATAAGTCATCATTAGACAAAGGCATCCAAAATTTTAAAATATTAATCAATTTGAAGAGCACTAGTTTATCATAGACTGCATAGGAAAAGAAAGAGGAAATTAAAGGTATCTTCTCTCTGCCAATAGGAATTGTTTGCAAGCACTTGGGAATATGTCCCTGCATATAGCTTTTTCATGGTATAATGAACAATGGGGTTGTTTTAGTGTCTGTTTAGCTGTTATTTGTGTATAATAATGTCTACAAACTTCAGCAAAGATCAGGAGACTGTTACACAAGGTAGTGGACCACCGTATAGTCTCTTTTCCAGGTTAGTGTCAGGAAAATTGTGGATGAAAGGTGTGAAGCAGCTAACGAAACAGGGTACATAGGAGGTGAGTGCTGTCCTTTGCCAGGTGGTGAATACACAAAAAAACAACCCTGTCATTGCTTCTCTTTAAAGAAAGTGTGAGTTTGCACTGAGCAATAAATTCTTGTCTTGCAGCATCTTGCAGAATTGGGCCAAGCTGGAGTCTGGTTGTAGTTCTTGTAAACAGCTTGACAGTTTATTTCCTCTCCTTAGGTAACAATCATTGGCTACACACTGGGAATTCCAGACGTGATCATGGGCATCACTTTCTTGGCAGCTGGAACCAGTGTGCCGGACTGCATGGCAAGCCTTATCGTAGCAAGGCAAGGTAGGTTCATCACAGAGATGTCATACTGCTATGGAAGTGTTTCCTTGTGTCCTCTTCCTCTTCAGGTAACACAGTTGTGTCCTGAATGTGAAAACATAACGGAACCCTTTTCCTGAGGCTGAAATTTAAAACAAGAACAAAGAAGGAAATTAATTATGCTGCTATTGCAAAGCAGCTAACAGGTTCTTAATGACAGTATGGAATGAGTTTTGGCACTATTGTCCCACTGCTGTCCCCACAGCAGCAGAGGGTTAGTTGAGGGAAGGTCTCAGATGATCCTAGAAGGTGGATTCAGCCTCTTCAACGCTGCTGGCCTTGTATGATGGGGAGGGCAAAGGGGAAAGGGAAGGGATGGAGTGAGGGAGATCTCCCTTAACTATTTGCCTTAATATGCGGAAATTGTCTGGATTAGCTCAGATCAATGTATTTCTGTTTAAAAGTTGAAAGGCTTTTCTGAGGCATGTCTGATTGTACATGATTTTTGTTCCCACAGGCATGGGGGATATGGCTGTGTCCAACTCCATCGGCAGCAATGTTTTCGATATTTTAATTGGCCTAGGACTCCCGTGGGCTTTGCAGACCCTAGCAGTGAATTATGGATCATACGTAAGTCCTACATTTGTCCACGTGATTCTTATTGATTTCATTGTTTGTTTGTTTGTTTACAAAACATATCTATTTAGAAAAAAAATAAAGTTCAAAGTTCTGTGGGTTGGATTTGAAGAAACAAATAGTTTCGCTCTGTTAAAATTTGGGAGAAGTAGCAACTAATTGTCAGTGGACATTCCCCATCCTTTGGAGGACAAATACTTCCATTTCCTCCTTAAAGGCAGCAGTCTGTGCTGAAATAAGCTAATACACTAGAGTATATTGTATTTTCATGCACTTGAATATATTCCAAATAAGGAGAATCATCCTGTTTTTAAAAAGCCAGAGTGGATAAACACATAGTTGGAAAGTAAAGGATAGAGCAGACCTGTAGGGATTTTGGTAAGAGAAATTGTAGTGTTACTAAACCATTAACACACTGCAAGGTGAGGCTGTTAAATAACTGGGTATTTCAGAGCATGACCATCATCAGGAAACACTGCAGAGCTTTCCTGTTTGAGAAAAACTGCCCAACACCAATGAAACTATCCTTTACTTCCCAAATGATAAAAGAGCCACCATCTGCCCCCAAAGTTGTTGCAAGCTCCTTTCTGAGAAGGAAGAGCAGGAGATGCCATGAAGTCCTAGAGGGGAGTCACTTTTGCTGTTAGCTGGACACCACTCAGACAACAGCACAGGACAGAGGAAAGATTCTTGATTACAGTCACTGAGTGAATGCCAAGTTAAAAGACTGAAGAATCACAGAATTGTTGAAGTTGACAAGTACCTCTGGAGATTGTCTAGTCCCCAACCCTCTGCTCAAAGCAGGGTCAGCTAGAGCAGCATGCTTAGAACTGTGGCCAGTTTGGTCTTGAATACCTCCAAGGACAGAGGCTGCACAGCTGCTCTCAGCAGCCTGTCCAATATTTGACCACTCTCCCAGTAAAAAAGTGTTCTTATGTTTAAATGGAATTTCTGTATTTAAAGTTGTGTGTGTTGCCTCTTGACTTTTCAATGGATACCACTCAGAAGAGTCTGGCTGCACCTTCTCTGTGCTCTCCCATCAGGTATTTATACACATCAGTAAGATCCCCCTGAATCTTCTCTTCTGCAGGCTGAACAGTCCCAGCTCTTTCAGCTTTTCTTTGTATATGAGTTGCTGCAGTCCCTTAAATCATCTTTGTGGCCCTTCACTGGACTCACTCCAGTATTGAGGAGCCCAGAGCTGGACCAAGCACTCCAGATGTGTCTCACCAGTGATGAGGAGAGAAGGGTCATCTCCCGCTACCTGCTGCTTCTATGATTCTCCTAATGCAGCCCGGGATGCTGTTAGGGCTCCATGCCATAAGGGTGCATTGCGGATTTCAGCTTGGTGTCCACCAGGATCAACCAGTCTTTCTCTGCCAAGCTGCTTTCCAGCCAGTCAGCCCCAGCATGTACTGATACATGGGGTTATTTCTTCCCAGGTGCAGGACTTCTCATTTCCCATTGTTGATGTTCGTGAGCTTCCTGCCTGCCCGTTTCTTCAGCCTGTCCAGGTCCCTCTGGATCGCAGCACAACCCCCTGGTGCATCAGCCACCCCTCCCAGTTTTGTATTGGCTGCAAACTTGCTACGAGTGCCCTCTGCCCCATCACCCAGTTCATTAATAAAGGTGTAAGTGGTATTGACCCCTGGGGTAAGCTACTGGCCTGGACTGGCCTCCAGCTGGACATGGAGTGCAGCAGTTTGGCCAGTTATCAGTCCACTCCACCATCCACTTAGTCTGTTCTTCCTCTGTCTATGAGGATCTTTGAGAGACAGTCTCAAAAGCCTTCCTAAAGTCAGCATAAACAACATCTGTTGCTCTCCATCATCCAACAAGTCCGCCTCGTCATAGAAGGCTATCAAGCTGGTTAAACATGATTTTCCCTTCATAAATCTATGTCTGCTCACAATCACCTTCTTGTCCTTCGTATGTTTAGAAGTGGTTCCCAGGATTATTTTTTCCATCACCTTCCCAGTCATCAAGGTCAGGCTGACCAGCCTGTAGTTCCTTGGGTCTGCCCTGTCCTTGAATACAGGAGTGACAAAAGGAAGCAATGCTGTAGGAATAAAATCCCTTTCTTTAACAAGTAGCTTATCTGTAGCTCATCTATATTTTTGCAGAAAAGGATGAAAACAAGTGGCTGAACAGAAGCAGACAGGCATAACAATGTCACTACTGTTTTGCACACCCAAAATGTTCATTGTGCAGTGTGATCACATGGTTAGAAAAGGCAGTCTTGGAAACCGGCCTACAATTAGCAAAAAGAGTTTTCTAAGTTTTCACTTGCAGTTCCTGGATTTCTCTCCAAATTCTCAGATAATTGGACTTCAAAGCAAAACAAGCACCCGCTCCATCCCCTCCCCATTATTAGTAATAAATTACTTAAGTATTCCTAAGTTGCTAGAAAAGGCCAGACTTAGCTGAGTCAGGTGTAGTGTGGTTGACAGCATTAAGAGCTGCAAGGTGCTGTTTGTTACTCAGGGAACCCTACTGATGTGCCAGGCACTGAGGTCAGCAGGGGCAGAAGACAAGAAGCTCCTGCTCCCTGAGGTCCGTAGGGCTGAGCCTTGGGCTGCTTGCACAAGCAAGGCCTGCTTACTGTGGGGAGGTTCACAAGCCTAGGCCAACCTGCTTATCTGCTAATTGTGACGGTCAGTTAGAAGCACTAAGTGATTTCTGAGCTAATAGTCACAACTTAGTACTGCTCCTTTGGTATTTGGCAGGATCCAAATTCATCTTTGTGGCATCTCCTCCAAAAGAGGAACTCCTCAAAGCCATCGTGATGCCCCTGTCTTGTGTACAGAGGGAAGGAGAGATTTGTAAAAGACAAAAAGAGCTTGCTTGATCATGATTACTTTTGCATAGCCATCCAAAACCAGGATTGCCTCCCCAGAATGTTTTAATATAAGAGGACTGTGGCAAAGTTAAGCTTTTGCTGAAAATCGAGAGTATATGCATTTTAATAAATAAGCTGTTAAGGCAATAATAGCTTTTGTGGAAGGCAGAAAAAGTAGACTGTGTGATTTGAGAGTTAAGCTTTAGTGCAGAAGAGCCTCCCTGAAGCTCCCCCTAGCCTTATTTTTCTGGAAGTCTAAAGGGCTTTCTCCAGAGTATGGTATTTCTAATATTGTACTCTGTCAGATCCCTGTGTATCTCTTATTCCAGGCTGCCTGACTCTAAATCCCCTGTTACCAGATTTTGATCCCTGTTAATGCTGGTGTAAAGAGTTCTGGCTTGTGACCGTGCAGAAATGGAGAAGAAGATCTGCTCCCTTTTTCTTTCCCTTTGTCTGCCTCTGTGCTGCGGTGTGCACATGCACTTGGCAGCATGCTGTCCTGTGCATTCTGAACTTTGTCAGCCACATGTGGTGAAGTGGCTTCACACACTAAGCAGCCAAGTGGCTGTCCCCAGCCAGAAGGAGATCTGTAGGGTTTCATTCTGAATATGAAGAGCAGCCTCACTGCTAATGGTGCTCTCAGCTGCCTTTGTAGGATGAGCTTGTGTTTGAGCCTTCCTTAGACTCCCTAAGGGCAGGTGGGTGTTTCAAAGCCTGTTTTACAGATGGTGCATTTTGATTTGAGGTAAGCAGAGAGCTTTGGATGAGATGCAGCCTGCAAGCTTGTGGCTGGTTGTGAGGCATCAATATATTAAAAGCATTGTCCTGCAAGGTGCCAGTTACTGCTTAGTTTTGCAATACACCTGGCAGCAACCACAAGAAGCCCCGTGCAGAATCAAGACTTCTTGTTTAAACAAGTTGGGTCTATGAGATAGTGCCTAAGGGGCAAAAATACAGCTTGTGATCTAATAGATAAGACAGGAAAAGAGCAAGAGGAGACCTGTCAAAGAGAGATGAATGGCCTTGCTGGGGGTCATGCAGTAGGTAAGTGGCAGAACTGGAAGCAGACTATGAACCTCTTGAGACACATCCTGGTGCTGGGTTGCTAAATCGCAATCATTTTGATTAAATGCCTCTCCCACTTCTGACTGCCCCTTTCCCAGGCCTGTTGTCGATGGGAGTTTCAGCTTATTATTTATTTAGAAAACAATCTTTTGCTTCTCGTGCTGCATCTTGGAAGCATCTGTCACCTGTTTTAGAGAAGGAAGTTCACCTTCTTCTGTTTTCCTACTTTAAATGAAACATTTTCCTGTAGGACGTGGGTACACCACAAGTGGAGACTGCAGGGCAGTCACAGCCCCAGCCTGAACAGGGGAGCTGCAGCCACATGATGCAGTGATGTAGGAAGCTGGCACAGCAGGCAGCACTTTGCATATCCACTGTGTGCTCCGGGGCACTGGTCTCCAATATCATTCACCCTGCCTTGCCTGTGCGTATCTGTTAACCACGACCCAGGTCTGCCTCAGTGTGATCAAGAGTGTGCAATACTGGATTTTTATTCTCTTCCTTCCAGTGCTGACTGGACTTAGTCCAAACCCAAGCCAGCAAATGCTCATGCTTCTCCAGGAAAATGTTAGTGCTGGTGCAGAGAAGAAAAGGTCGTTCTCTGCCCTCACCCTTTGCACTTCAACTGAGTTGCCAGTCCCACAGTTCTTGGTTTGGGCCAAGGCCACTAAGGCTTTTCCCAACAAAAGGCAGATCTAGTCAGTATCAAACAGATACTTCAGATCCCCTCGGTTTCTACAATGTCTAGTCTCTTAACCAAACCATATGTTTGTTATTTTAAGAGCCCTTGTTATTTCTGGACACTCACTAATGTCCAGGCCCTAACTCTGCCTTCCTCCGTGCTTCCCACTGGAACATCCATCTCCACTGCTCAAGAGTTCACTTGGCCACCCTCCTGCTGCAGCTCTGGCTTTCTGTTATCAACCATAGCTAATCTAGCATGCCAGCAGGACTTTCGGAGAAAAAGCAGCATCCCTCTGGACCTAGAGAGACATTTGAAAGAGTTTACTTTCTCATCTCTTCCAGCTCTGAGTCCTGGGCACGTTGCTGACTCTGTAATCCTGTAAGCATCCTTCCCCAGTGGCCCAGG